TTAGAAGGGAGAGGCCATGGCTCAAGTGTGTCTCACCAACCAGCCAAGCACAGGGGCCTCAGTCACCTGGCCAGGCCATTCCCCAGCATAGCAAGGCTGGTGGCCTCCGGATGGGGCCTGAGGCAGAGGCCAGGCCACCGTCTCCAGACCAGACCTGCGCTTCCCGCTTCTGTGGATGGCTCGCTATAGGGGCTCCAGGCTCCGTGCAGAGCCCACGTACTGCTCACTGGGAAAGCGTGGGTAGTGACCGCTCCTTCAGGGTGTCCTGCGGTCCCACAGTGCGGTCTCCCCAGAGCCTGCCTTCGGAGCATGTGTGGTTCCCGGTGTCCCTCTCACGCTGCGGTGACAGACGTGCGTCCCCAGCGTGTGTGTCACAGAGTCCACCACCTGCCCCGCACAGCTCGAGGGACACTGTACACCTCAGATCTGCCATAGAGACCACGATGTCCAGGTGCCCAGAGCCCATATCTGGACGGGGACAAATGGCCTGTGCGGAGTGGGCCCTGAAGGACCTCCGAGCCCAGGGCGCAGCCATGTGGGTCTAGCTCCACGTGGCCTCACGCAGTTACAAGGACAGTGGCAGGCCTGAGGGCCGGGGTGTGGGGCTGTCCAGGGTGGCACAGGTTCCTGCTGGATGGGTAGTGGGGACAGCAGCCCAACACGGGGACATAAAGGCCAGGCCGGGCCAGGGTCCTGCGGGCAGTGTGGCCCGTGCAGGGAGGGGGAGCTTAGCAGGGCAGATGACACCGGCCGGGCCAGAGAAGCCTGCAAGGCCTGACCTCAGCGAGCCAGGGTGGCAGTGGGCAGCCTGTGTCGTCTCTTCCCATGACACCAGTGTGGGAGCACCCAGCCCATGGGATGTCACCTCTTGGCCCAGCCAGGGCAACCAACCAGAGCCCAGGATCTCCAGTGAGTTGGGGCAGGAGTAGGAACAGGGAACAGCTCCAAACCAGGAGCCACAGGACACAGCCACGCCCAGAGCCCACTCCCTGCCTGTGGGACCCAGGAGCCCACACAGGAAATGAACAGCAGCAAATTCTGGTTCTCAACAGGCACCAGGTAGAACTCAGCAAGGTGCAGCATCTCCTCTGATAAAGGCGCCGCAACCAGGAATAATGGATTTTGTTCCTAGTCTTGTGGAGTTCGTGTGTAGAAGCAAACGCCTACATGTACCCAGCAGAGAACGTTCTCGTTTGTCCTGAACACTCTTACCCCCGCCCACAGCTCTGGCTTGCTCGGCCGATGCTCAGCCTGACATGCTGGCTGTGTGGCCTGGCCGGCATCTCCCGGGCACTGGGGCATCCTGGACAACCTCTCCCAGGCTGAGGCCCCAACAGGCAGGGAGGCGGAGGCTTCCCCGGGAGGGAAGGCAGGGTCATCAGGCCGCCCCACAATGGGGACACCCCCTTCTTGAGTTCCACGTGCCACCTTCCCACACTGAGGATTTGGATGCCAGCAGCCTGGTCCCCTGGCCATCATGTGGAGCAGTGGTGACTCGGGGCCAGGTGCTGGTGTGTCCACCATGGCACAGGGCAAGTCCCTGCCAGACATTCCGAGCGGGCTCTGGGTCCTTCCCCAACCATCTGGCCACCACAGCCCGAGATCCCTGCGATTCTGCCTTTAGCCTCAGTCCAGCACAGAGCCCAGGACCTGGGTATCCGTCACCTCAGCTACAGTATAGGCCCCAGGGCCAGTAACGCCCTCCTAGTGCTGTTCAAGGCCAGCAACGGGCAGGCGCTCCAAGCCCAGTTGCCATGTGATGGGGACTAGGGACCCCTCCCCAGGATGCAGGACAGGTGGCTACTGGGTGGGGCTTTCCTCCCTTGCACCTTGGGGTGTACAGAACCCATCCTGACCAGCAGGGGTGCACGGACATTGCTGGTGGCCCCAGAGGGAAGGTTTCCAAGGGACAGAGTAACTTCCCCTCTCTCCTGCCCCTGCCCTTCTCTCTGCCTGCAACATGATGACTGAGCATGGGGATGACGGAGAGCGGCACCGGGCTGCTGAGGGCCTGGGTCTCCTGAGGGGCAACCTGCCACATGGAGGCCACACAGGGCCACACAGACCGGGTCACGGTGGTCAGCCGAAAGCATGGGCTGGAGCCCAAGGTGGCCCTACCAGGGACAGGCACAGGGCCCTAAGATGCTGGTGTTAGTAGGCACCAGCTGGGCGCTGGCAGAAGGTAGGCTTCGACCCTCCCAGGGAGCCTGGCAGAGGCCTGGCCTGTGCCTGTTCTTGTAATTAGAATCTTCCCAGCCCAGGGGAGTGGGAAGGTAATTAACGCCATGCCAGAACTCCAGGTGCCCAGGGCAGAGAAGGCACCCAGGCCTGGGCCGAGAGCCCTATGGCCCACAAGACTGGGGGTGCGAGTCCACGAGCAGGAGCCTGCACACACGTGCAGGGTGTCACCTGTGTGCCAACAACAGTGTCTGGGTGTTTGCACGTGCACGTATTTCTGTGTGCACACTGTTGTCGTGAGTTCCTGTGTGCATGCACCTTCACCTCATGTCCACGTGTACTTGTCTGTGTGTTCATGAGCCACCTGCATGGCTGTCCCACCCGAGCCTGGGGGAGCAGGCGTGCCGACACGTAGGTCTGCCAACCCCATGTGCCAGCCCCGGGCCACAACCCCTGCTGTCATGGGGCTGCTGGCACAGACCTGACGCTGGCAGCAGGAGTCAGAGGGGTCTGAGGAGGAGGGCAGTACTATAGGAAAGGGGGCACTGCCCTCCCGATGCTCAGCATGTGTCCCCACCTGGCGACAAAGAGTCACACTGACTTCTGGGATTCCCAGCCAGGGCACCTCGCTGGCCCAGAACCTTGTCTTTTGAGTGGTGCAGGACATAAGGACAAGAAGGGACGAGGGGCCCTAAAGGGGTCTTGCTCGGGGCCTCTGTGTCCACGGCAATGGCAAGAAACGTTTGGACTCAGAAATGGAAGTAACTGCCAGTTTTCTTTGAGAAATACTGAAAGATTTTAAAAGTGAGATTCCTTGATGTTAAGAGAGTTCTAACTACCACCCAGCACCGGAACAGTCCTGAGATCATTTCAACTGCGTCATTCCAATACCATGGAAGGAAAATAGAGTTGCGTCAGGGCTCTGGCTTGAACAAGGCAGAGGGTCTCAGGCCAGGACAAGGCCCGCTTCTGAGGGGTGGCGGGGCGGAGGCAGGCTCCTGCTATCTCCTGGCCAGCCGGCTCCCCAACATCCTGGAGGCTCAGGCTGATAGCAGCACGAGACACTGGTCACAGGCAGCAGCTGGAAGCCACGCTGCCTGGGCCTCCCCTGCCTACGCCATGGGCCATGTCTGGGAGCCACGTCAGACATGGCCTGGGTGGCAGCCAGCACTCCCAGTGTCTTGGAGCGATGTTATCACTGCAGGAACATTCCAGAAGCAACACGCCTGGTGTTTGTTCAACTCCCAGCTCCTGAGTGGCACAGAAGCCCGTTGGGTGCGTCTGCCAGGCCTTCTTGGGAGCCGTGTCTGTGCCTGTGTCCCACCCTGCCCGCCAGGCCACCCGGCCACAGGCTTCCCTTTGTGGAGACAAATCATCCAGTTCAGCCTTCCCCAGAGCGGACTGTGGACCAAGCTGCCACCAGCCCTGCACCCCAGGTGTGGAGCATGTGGCCCCACACAAGCTCTGGGCCCACAGCCTTGGAGGTATATCCTGGAGCCACAGCCAGCACACCATGGGTCCCCTCCGGCACGCCCAGGGTCACTTGCTGTGATAGCCAGTGGACCACGGCCCTCTGAGAAAGGACGACCAGGCACATAAACACATGGAGGGCAGTGGGGACCCCCATGTCAGGGGCACAGCAACCTCACCTCAGGACGCAAGGATGGCCCACAGGCCCCGCCGTATGCTTCTCACTGCTCACAACCTGCTCACGCATCCCCTCCCTCCCTCACCTCCTCCAAGGTGCCGGCTGCCACGGGACACAGGGCAGAGGCCTCTGCTCCCGGAACTTGCCACGTGGTGGGCGAACAGGAAAACGGCACAGAACTCTGGGGACATCGCCGCAGATAAAGGTGCAGCAGGGTCTGCCTGTGGACAGGGAGCCCAGGTCTGAGGTGCCCTAAACCCTCCTCTCCCTGCCCCACCCCAACTGTGTCCCTCCCCAGACCCGAAGCCCAGTGCCCCAGCATCTTTTGTCCTGCCCACGCCAGTGGAGGCCACTGACCACACGCTGTCTTCTCCCTGGGGAGTGGGGACAGGGACTTCTAAAACCCTGGTGTCCACAATGCCAAGACTGAGGACAACCCCTGGAGCCACATCTACCAGAGGTGGGAAGAGGCCTGCAGGTGCTAATCAGTCCTGAAAAGGTCACACACAGCAGGGGCCCCAGCCAGCGCAATGAGTGCTATGGGACGTCACATTTCCAACACACTGTGGGCCTCCTGGCTGTGACTATCCCGGCCCTGGCAGCCACAGAAACCACCGCACGGGTAGTGCAGCCTGAGGAGGAGCCCGTGGCCTGAGTATCCAACATCTCTCCGCAGCAGCAGCAGCACAGCTGAGGCGAGGCCCAGTTGTGGGGACAGCCCCACTCGGGGGGGAAGGATGCCAGGGGACCTGGTGGGGGCTCGGGAGGGGAGCCCTTCACCCCAGCGCCGGCACCTGTGGTTATCTGGGGTGTCTGTCAGTCAGCTTGCCGTGCCTGAGAAAATTACCGAGTGGCTCAAGACGACAAGCTGCCTTGGTCCCGAGCTGAGGCAGACTCACGGCAGGGTACAATATAGAGGGGGCCGTCCCCCCATGGAGTCTGGGCCCCCACCCTTCAGGGCACAGCCCAGCGACACTTTCCTCCACCTCTCACCAGACTCTCCTGGACACAGCTCCTCCCATGGCTCTTCTGAGAGGCCACACAGAGGTGGACACATCCAGGGATCCAGCACCGCAGTGCCCCAGGAGGCTTTTACCTGCTGTTTACCCTTGAAATGAGAAGTGGACTGAAAGCTTCGGGCTTAAAAAGTGTGAATGCCACTCAACTGCACAACTTTTCCACCTAAGTTTATTACAAAGTAATCCATGTTCATTCTTTCATCCTCCAAAGACAGAAAATATACAAGAACAGCAAAGCTCCTAGTGGTCCACGAGCAGGCCTGCTGCTCCCTGGCATCTGTCTTTCCACATACGGAGGACCCGTGTGCTGTCAGGAAAGCAGGGCGCCGGTCCTGTGGGGATCCTGGCAGGCAGGCGCTCACAATTGAGCCCTGCACGGAACGCGAGGTGCCCCACCCACACCTGCTCGGATGACAGCAGCCTGGTGGCCCCTCCTGTCACACCTCAGCTCACGTGTCCCCAAGGCAGGACCGGCTCAACCCCGAGGCAGCCCCATGCCCCAGCTGCTGTCACTGCCGCTTCCCCAGGGGTCCCTGAAGGGAAGGCCCTGATCCCCAGGAAAGGGACAGTGACCAAAGGCCAGGCAGGCCCAGGTCACCTCGGACGGCTCACAGATCACCTACAGAGCAGGCAGCTGGGGACAGCTCACACAGCCACACATGTGAAGGTGCGTGTGCTGCAAGGCCTGTGCACACAGAGCCTGAAGACAGAGCCACCCGCCACCCACCAGGCCATGTACCAGCAGGCTCTGTCCCGAGCTTCCTGCAGGAAGAGGTGTCACCAACACCACCTCTAGGCTGCTCCTCTCCACTGGGACCGGACATGGCCTGGGGTGTGGTCTCGCCTGGACCCCAGGGACTGGGAGCTGCTACCCACTGTGTCCCTGTTTGTCGCTTTTCAGTGCTCTCCTAGGAAAGGGGGTCCAGGACGTGGGCTCCAACTGTGGCCTCAGAGATGGCATGGGAAGCTGGGGGCACAGAGACTATCAGTAAGAGGGCAGCAGGCGCTGGTGCTGACCCCTCTCAGATGCATGTGGTCCTGAGCCTCTCAGGGCCCCTGCCGGCCACATGGCAGCGGGTCCTGCACAGCAGGGACACCACTGAGAGAGTGCAGAGCCCTCGGGGCTGTAGGGCCAGGACACAACTCCTCCCGTTCTGCCTCCTGAGGATGCCAGGCGGCCACCCACGAACCCCAGTGCCTAGTCAGGTGTGTGAAACCACCCTGCCACTTGGCCAAGAGACCCCGCAACAGGTGGTGAGCGGCATAACTGAGCAGGATGTAGGGGCCAGGAGGAAGCCGCAACCCTGGCAAGGGTGGTGTGGATGAGGGGACAGGAGCAGGAGGGGTCCTAGGCGACCCGGGGGGGCAGCACACGGGTGCCAGGTGGGCCCCAAGGGCTGCTGCAGGCATCTGAGGAGCTCAGCCAGGCGGCCTGCCCAGATTCCTTCAGCAGGCAAAGCTGGGAACCCGTGCACGGTGTCCAATGGCGGGGAGGCCACGCCTGAGGGCCCCGGGGGACACACGCAGCTCTGCCCAGCCACCATCTCAGCCTTGCCAAGCTCCGCCCCAACACAGGCACCCTGGGTAGCAGCACAGGAGTCATGAAGGCTGTATGGCTGCAGGAGGCTGCTCTCCTCTCTGACAAAGTGAAGGTCCTGAAGGGTGGAGGCTGCTGAGGGCACAGCCTCGGAGAAGGCAGCACCCTGCCCTCATCACAGCTGGCTGGTGCCCTCCCGCTGCATCTGGAGGGCCAGCTGCTGCCCAATGGCCAGTAGGGGGTTGGCTCTGTAGGCTGGGCTGGCCAGCAGCTCCAGGAACCGGGTCCTTTCTTCCTCACTGAAAGAAGAGACCACAGGTCAGGAGGCAGCAGGGGAGCCCCCGGCCCTGCAGGGAGGCCTGAGAAGCAGCACCCACCATCCAGGGTGTGGAGGACCAGCCCCGCACACCCCGGCCCCACCACAGCAGTGGACAGCAGAGCCTGGCATCACCATCCAAAAAGTGCCTGGTGCCCCAGGGGCCACTTGCTTGCCCAGGGGTCTATGGGGGTCACCCCGCAGAGCGGAGATGGCAGTGTTGCAGCCTGCACGCCCTACAGACACGCAGGTCTTACATAAGAGGCACCTGCTCCCCAGCAAGCCCAAAATAGCCACACGAGTGCTTGAGCAGGGGGTGGGACAGGCTGTCACTAAAGGGCTCAGGGCCTGCACCATGGTGATGCTGGCCACCCCACCCCCACTGCCTGCTCTACCCCAACCAGGTCACCCTCCCAGAGTGCTCTGCAGCCCAAAGGTCACAGGAGCACTCAGAGCCCAGAGCGTACTGGCTGAACCCCAGGTGACCACGGGCACTTCCAGACCATGCCGGCCTGGGCTCTGGGTTGTTGTCATGGGGACGCCTCATAGGCCCGGGCTGCCAGGGCCCAGCTTCCTGCTGCCGGCCCCTCCCCTGCACTCCCCCAGGCACCCAGTGGGCATCAGACCCAGGACAGCGATGGGTGACAACACGGGAAGTGCTGCCGGGCACCTGGAGCCATACTCACAGGAGCTGCTGCCTCTGGGCTGCACTCATCCGGCTGAGCTCGCCCGGCTGGGGCTGGCCACTCACCCTGCTGTGAACAGAGGACCCTGTCACCAACACTGCCCATCGAGTCCGCCCACCTCAGCAGCCAGGGAGCCGGGGTGAGAAAGGCACGGGTCCTGCACTGGCTGCCGCTGCAGGGCAACCTGCACCAGAGCTGCCGCCATGTCCACGATGAAGCCCACGTCCGACTGACGCGCCCGGACACCCCTGAGCACACACACCTTGAGTCTTCAAGGCCGAGAACCACAGCAGAGGGCCAGAGGCTGCCAGGTCTACAAGCGGACACCGGGTGGCCAGCAGCACCGGTCATCCGTCCCGGAACCCAGAGGCGACACCTACACGCTGAGGACACCCGTGTGCACCCAGGGGTCCCCGGGGGGCTGCCCACACCAGATGTCCCAGGATCTTCCGAGCCAGCGCCAGGCCTGGCCAGGAGGCACCCAGTTCCCCCAAGGGTCAGCAAGGATGGGCAGTGGAACAGTCGCCAAGCTTCCCCCAAGAGCTGTGGGCCTCACAAGGAGCAGGTGACAGTGCCACTCACCACCCGCAGTGAGGTGGCCTGGAGAAAGGGCAGAAGAGAGCCCAAGTTCTGAGTAACACCTAGATTCAGACTCCTGACCAAGGCCTGCTTTCCTATTTACGTTCTTTTAAAATTGGAAGACATTTTCTGTTTTCTCAAAACAGTGCCTGAGCTGCTGCCTACCTGGGGAATGACTGTCAGGCTCTGGTGCATACTGCCCAGCCTCTAGGATCGTGGCCTCCAAAGCAACGGAAGCTGGTGCCTCAGGGCCCTAGGCCCGGCTACACTGGCTGGGGACTGGGGGCTCCCCTGTGCCTGCTGGCTCAGGGTCATTGTTTCCTAAGCTGGTGGTCCAGGGCTAAGGCTGCCCCTATGCCAGGTCCCCCAGGGCAGGGGGACACTGCTGGGTAACCTCGGTGTGACCTGTGTAGACGGGGAGCTTACTCACCAAGAGGAAACCGGGAGGCCGGGCTGGTCCCACGCGCCCTGCGCCACCGCGTGCACCCGAGCAGGAACACAGTGACGAGGAGAATGGCGACCCTGAGCCCCAGCCTGCACCCCGGTGGCCCAGCACATTCCTCCCCGGCTGGCGGCAGCTGTTTACACAGCCCTCCCTCCCTTCCAGGAGCCCAGCACATTTTTCAGATGAGAAAACCAAGAAGAGGCGAAGGACCCTTGACCGGGTCACATTTCTGCTCAAGACCCAGGCGAAGAATCTCGGCAGCCAGCGCTGTCCCGCCCCACCCAGCCCCACCCGTGGAAGCCCCTGTCAGTGCGAGCCTGCAGGGCCTCCATGGTGCTATCCCCTCAGAAGGAAATTCATCAGCAGAAAATAATTATTTTTAAGATGCAAGAGTAGTAATGTTGGAAAAAAAGGCGGAAGCCCAGCCCCTGTGACAGAACGGAAAGCCCCTGGTGCTACCCCAGCTGCTCCCCAAAGCTGAGGCCCAGCTCCTTGACCTCTCGGACCTGCTGTCCCCCCTGGGCTGCCTGAAAAGGACAGGCTCCAGGCACCGATACGCAGGCCACTAGGCCCCAGGAGGGAGGCGCACAGCCAGTGTGGGCAGGCAACACCACTGAGGAGCAGGCCTGGGTCACCCCACCTGCAGGAGCAGGAAGGGACAGATGGGCACGTGCCAAGGCCCTGAGGTTGGGATCGAGCACACATGTGACAACAGGCCAGGCAGCCCGGGCTGATGGAAGGGGTACAAAGGGCGCAGGTGTCCCCAAGCCCCAGCCAATAGCCATAGTGCCTCAAAGGCTCAACTCAGGGTGTGAGGGTCTGGGGTCAGGTGCAGCTGAGCATACATACTCCTGCTCCCCTGGGGACTGGTCCCCTGGCCACAGCTCCCACAGGCCAGTCCTGCGACACTCACCCCTTGGGCAGCGGTGGGCGGCGGGCCTCCAGCTCCTCCAGCTCTGGCAGGGCGTCCCTCAGGGGGTGTAGGTCACCCACCACCACTGTGGCCCTGCGTTTCTGCTCCTCCTTGCGCTTCTGCTCGGCCAGCTTGATGGCTTCGATTTCTGGGGCCAAGGGGGCAGGATGAGGAAGGGCAGGTACCTGTCACCTGCACACTTCCTGCCGTCACCCACGCCCCACCAGGGGACCAGAGGGTCGGCTGGCTCCAAGCTATTTTTTCCTTGTAATCACAGAGCAGGCCTTTTAATTACAGGCTGAGCATGAGCTTGGAGCCGAGGCCCAGGCTGCTTCCTCAGCAGACAGATGCTGGCGCAGACCTGGCTACAGGCCACGGCCATTGAACCAATCGAGACTGGCATGGCGCCTCCTGCAGGAAGCTGGTCATGCAGCACCCACATGAGGGCAGGCAGGGCAGGCCCCTGCCAAGAGAGGGCCGAGGGCGCAGGCATGGAGGAGCGGCTGTGGCATCCACGTGGGGAAGGTATGGCCTGCAGATGTGTTCTTCACCAAAGCACAGAACCAGCCCATTGTGCTCCTGGCTACATGTGAGCCCCCAGTGAGCTCTGTGCTGCACAGACAAGGACACCAGGCCCCGGCAGGCCCAGGGTGGTGGCCCAGGAAAGACACCCTCCCCCTCACCTCCGGGATTACTGAGATTCATGAGGTGACAATTCGGAGGTGGAAGTGGTAAACATCTGGAGCAGCTCCTCTCCCTGGAGTGGGGGGCAGGCAGCCAGGAGGGCTGGGGCTGCAGACCCCAGAATACAGAAGGCAACACCAAAGGCCGAGCGGGGCCTGAGGAGGGCTCAGGGTCAGGAAATCAGTGTGACGGCTTGGTTCGAATCCACGCCCACTGTGCTCAACAAGCCACATGGGGATGAAGGCCCTGGACAGAGCATGTCCAGTCAATACCGCACCTGCAGCCAGACGCCAGACACAGCCAGCCACGGCACCCTGGACAGCTGTGCTTGCCACTGTGTCCACATGAGACGCAGCCCCAGGTCACCCTGAGCTCGGAGGTGCAGCCGGGGCTGCTTTCTCAGCAGATAGATGCAGGCACAGCCCAGGCTTCCGGCTGCAGGCCAGGTTCTACACTCTGTTTTTAAGAAGACTCAACATAAAAGAGGGCCAGCTGCACAGACCCCTAGATCTGAAACAGACCTGAAACATAACCCAGAACAGGGCAGGAGAAAGAGACATGCAGCAAGCACAGACAGGTACCAGACCAGCGGCCGTGGCTCTCTCCCTGCTCTGCAGGGTGAGTTATGTGTGAGTTAAATGCTACAGGTTGGCCTGAGGTGCCTGCACAATCCCAGCCACCCAGCAGGCTGAGGCAGGAGGACTGAGTCTAAGGTCAGCCTAAGCTGACCCTGTCAGCAAATGAATAAGCAAATAACACTACAGTAAGAGAAATCACAGGCCAAAAAACAATGCCTCACTAGAAATAAAGGAAAAGAAAATCCCAACTATAAACAGTTTATCTCTCAAGACTGATGGTTAGAGAAGTCTGCTAACATGGGGCGTCAGGACAGGAGCCCAGAGCATGTGTGTGGGACCTGGGGCAGATGGCCACCATGCTCTGGTAACACCTGCCCAGAACACAAGGGCCCAGGCAGCATGGTGGCCCTGCAGCGAGGAACCGAGAGGCGGGAATAGTGGGCGTGGCCAAGGGGCTGGGGCAGAACCACAGCGGGGCAGCTACTGGAACACAATGAGCACAGCCACCTGATGAAGGCACAGCACAGCACACACTCCTGAACATGCTGGAGCCCAAAGAAGCTGCCAGACTGATGTGAGACTGCAGCAGATTCATGGCACACAAACCAGGCACTTTACACACTAGAAATGGGACAAATTCCATTTACAAGAGGGCCAAACTGGGTGTGGTGGCTCACGCCTGTAATCCCAGCACTCGGGAGGCTGAGGCAGGAGGATCACTGTGAGTTCGAGACCAGCTTGGGCTACATAGTGAGTTCCAGGTCTGTCTCAAAAAACAAACAAACAAAAAAAAAGAGCGCCAAAAATTATAACTTATTTAGCAATAAATCTGCCCAAACCAAACAAATGCCAGAAAAGTAAATACACAAACAGGAAAAGGGAAAACGGAAAGAAGCCTCCATAAGGGGAGCCACAGTAGCAGTGGGCCAAAGATCCGCTGACAGGGCAACTGCGCCGAGGATGCCAGGACTCAGGCAAACTGCAGCCCAGAGGTGAACGACGTAATTCCACGGAGAGGACATGGGGCCCGTCGCCATCATGGACGAGAGGGCCTGCTGGAGGAGGGCACCTGCCCAAGGATGAGGCATACGGCGAGGAAGGCGAGGAAAGCAAGGAGGGATCTCTGCAGCCGCCACCCCCGCAGAGCAACATCGACTCAGGATGGAGCGCCTGGATACAAAGCAGGCCCTTAAGGAGTTCAGAGGAAAACACAGAAAAATATCGCGATGATGAACTAGGCAAAGTTCTCTTAAATAGGGCACATACACCATAACCATGCAAGAAAAAAGTACCAGACTTCTCAAAATTAAATTCCTGTCATAGAAAAATTTAAGAAAATGAACAGGCCAATCACAGTCTGTGAGGAAATATTTGCAAACATAGCTGCCCAAGGACTGATGTCCAGGACACAGAGAACTCGGAGAACCTCAGTAATAAAAGGAACTTCCCTGGAGAGGAGGCACAGGCAGGAGACACAGGAGGCTCACGACAATGCCCTCCCTGTGATGCCAGACAGCCTGGAGCAGCCAGCACCACCGCCAGGTCGGGCCAGGGACGGCACATGTGTGGGCAAGGCAGTGACCACCAACTCTCCCACGCTGCAGGAGGGGCACAGAGGCAGGGTGTCTGGCAGTGGCTCATGAGACTAAACATGCACCCACCCTATGACCCAGCGTTCCATTCCTGAGTGTTTATACAAGAGGAGGGAAAACACGGCCACAGAACACGGGTGCTTGTCCAGCCTCACTTGTCAAGCCAAACATGGCAAAGCCAGTACTAGCCACAGGAGACTGGCAAGGAGCATGCGTACCACACTCCTCCAAAAGGCCCGCCCTGCACCATGCCTCCCGCAGACAGACAGGCAGGCAGGTGGGCGGCCCACGGGGCAGAGCTGTGAACCAACCAGAGCAGCTGTCGGGGCCAGGGTTGGCGGTGAGGGAACACCTGGAAGGGATTTCAGCACAGGTGCAAGCAATAGCTGAAATGCCCATCACCATACACAGATGCGGCTGTGACAGGAAGAAAGGCTCTGGGATAAATCGGACCCTGGCAGGATGACTCAGGGGAGTGCAATACCATCTGCTACTGACCTGGGGACAGACAGAGATGGGGATGGACACACGGGCAGTTCCATGACAGAGGAGCAGGACACTAAGTGTAAAACCCACAGGTCGGGTCGAGGGTGTTCACCATCAGTGCTTCCCGCTTTTCTGAATCCCACTTTCGACAATAAAATATGAAGCAAAAACAACTTGGGAGATGCGGCTAATGCTATATTCAGAGGCCAACTTACAGCCTTTCATTTCTTAAAGAAAACATGATGGCGACAGGTGGGTGAGCAAGGCAAGCAAACCTAAGGAAAGCCTGAGCAGGGAGCTAATGAAGCAGAAACAAATTATTTAGAAAGCAGGAGGGCTGACGACCAAATTCAAGAATTCCTGGACAGGAAGAGACAGAACTACCCAGCTACTCATCAGAAAAAAGGCACAGAGAAGAATGACAGGCATTTAATAAGGAGAAACTAACATATAGCCCTTGGCTACAAAAGGCTGAAACTTGATTATTTCAGAAAAATACAAGTGGCAAAAATCAAGTCAAGCAATTCATAAAAAGACCAAGCACCAGCTGGATGTGGTGGCTGTAATCTTAGCACTCAGAGGCTGAGGCAGGAGGATCACAAGTTCGAGGCCAGGCTGAAATACACAGTGAGTTCAAGGCCAGGCTGAACTGCACAGCGAGAACTTGTCACAAAAAGCAAAACAAACGAGCATCAGAGATGAAAAATTACACATCACAAAAATATACCCAGAAAGTCTCAGGTCTGCATGGCCTTGGTCCACAAACACTTCCGGAGCTACCTTGCATGGTTTTGCACTGCGAATTATGAAAGAGAAAATGAAAGAATGGACCATGTAAACAACACCCACAAAATGGTAGAAAACATAAAATTAGTATTCCTGGAATAAACTGACAAGTTTCTCTAATGACTACCTTCAAAGAACACATTTCCTTTAAAACCCTCATGGAAACGATAACATAAACATTTCAAGATCTGAGAAAGTAAAGAAGAAAACATTCCAAAATAAGTTTACAAAGTCAGCAGAATCACAATAAAAAGCTAACTAGAAAAAAATTACAAAACAACCTTTCTTGTGATCATTGTGCAAAGATAAGAAACTCTTCAGAAGAATGTTAGCAGCTCGTTAGTGTCTCAAAAAACAACTACACGTTCGGAGCAGGAGTGAGAGGAGAGGCGTTCAGGCTGCGGAGTGAGAGGAGAGGCGTTCAGCCTGCGGGAGGCTGGCTGGGAGCCCAGAGCACGTCCGCCCTCCACCAGGGAGGACAAAGGGGCTCGGCTGTGCACAGGCCAGCGGACAAAGGGCAGGACTTAGTACAAGCAACTTCCGAAATTAAAACACTTACCACAGGAAGCGAAAAGGACTCTGACAAACAAGGGGCTGAGAGCAGCAGCCTCAAGAGACAGCCTTCTGGGAGCAAGAAGCACCAGCCAGCAGGTGCGCGCACAGGGAAGGGGTAGCCGTCACCAAGGCCTCCTGCCACCTCCCTGACAGGGCCAGGTGACTTCTTGGGTACCTGCTCTGGGCTCCCAGCAGGAAACTGACCAGTACCCTGTGTGGGAGCCTGGCCATGCATTTGGGTGCAGGACAAAGCAGCTGGCATGGCTGCCCCGGAGACAAGGGCATGAACTTACTCTGCAGCCATCGCTCCCGCCGCAGCCTGAGTTTCTCCTTCTTGGGCAAAATGGCCTTTGCCTCAGCACCTGTGGAGAGAGAACACACAGATAAGTCCTGGGTACTTCAGCCCCAAACCCCCATGCCCATGGTGCCCGAGGCTAGGACAGAGTGGGTTCCCACTGTGCTGGCGGTGGCACCCTGGAGCCTGGCTACTGCGGCTCACGGCAGTCAGCTGTGCCCACGGTGACACCAGCCCTAGCCTCCCTTCCATGGGCTCCGTGCAGCCCCAGGACACACGCAGCAGGTGCCAGCACAGTGCCAGGTTCTCCAGGCACCAGCACCCTCTAAGGTGACAGCCTGGCCCCTGACCACTGGCTGCCCAGAAAGCCAGGCAGAGTTACCAATGAGGTAGACCCTGCCCACCCCAGCCAGTGACTTCAGACTGAGCACAGCTGACCACATGGCCCTGGGAAGGCCAAGCCTACATGGGATGTGAACTGGGCAGCAACTGGCAAACACACAGGACAGCAGTTGGTCCTAGGTGTGTGCCTGTTCCCAGCTGTACCCCAGGGTCACCAGCTGGGACTGCAGGAAGACATGCCCCGACCCCTGCAGTCCAGGAAAGCATTCCACATGTCCCAATGAAGGCAGACAACAAGGACACCCAAGGTGGGGCTCCTGCTCTGGCCACCTGCACCATCCCTGTGCCTACTGCCCATTCATCCCCCAGAAACCAGTAACCAGCCCTCATCCAGCTGCCACATCCCCTCTGCAGCCAGGCTGGCTGTCCAGTCCTGCTCCAGGAGGACAGGAGCAATGTGCCAGCTGCCCTGTGCCCTTATACAGGGTGCTGCCACCTCTGGCAGACATCTGGCCACCCCAGGGCAGGGTGGGAGTAGAAGCACTGTCCTGTGCTTGGACATGTGAGCACCCCTTGTTCCAGTGCCACCTGCCCAGCCTCAGGTCCTAGGCCCGGCCGACTGCTTCTCACTGTGCTGCCATCCAGACTATAGGCCAGGCCACCAGTGTCCTGGAGGATGAAGGGCCCAGGCACCACGCAGCAGAAGCCACAGCCACAGGGCAGGGCTTAGGAGACCTGCGCCAGGCATGCCACAGAGTCACCCTGGGCCAGTGGAGGGAAGGTCAAGGTGATGTGCTGGGGTCCTGCGCCACAGCCCACGCCCAGCCTTGGTGACAGAGCCGGCTGGCTTGGGAGTCCTTCCAGCTGCTGAGCACCACCTCCAGGCTCAGGCCTACCATGGACATGGGCACACGGAGGGCGCCGGTACCTGTGGCAAAGTGTGGCCACAGGGCCTGCCCATGCCCTCTCCTATCCCTGCTCGGCATGGTCCTGAGGCAATGTGCGGCACACCCCCACGAGGAGGGGCTGGACTGTTCCCAGCCGCAGGACTCTGAGTGTGACAGTACCTGTAGACAGTGTCACAGAGCTAAAGGGAAATAAAGTCCCCAGTGTCCTTACAGGGCCAGGACACACACAGAAGCCATCAGCAAGCCCAGGGGAGACCTCAAGGGACCAGCCCTGTGACACCATGATGTCCACCCCTAGGCTCCAGGACCAAGAGTCTACTCTGCTTTCACCACTGCTCTGTGCTGCACCCGGGCAGCCTGCACCACCATATCCGGCCATCTCAGCAATACCACACCATGCTGGGCCTCCACCGTCACCGTCACTGTCACCGTCACCATTGGTGGTTACCCAGGAGGCAGAGGACCTGGGAAAGCATGTGCGAATAGCCTTGGGACACCGGGGACCAGGTGCATTTCAGTCAGAGGCCCACTGGATTTTCCACATGAGAAAGCAGGTTCCGCAGGAGTAGCACCCTACCCAAAGCTACAAAGGTTTGAGCTCCCGAGGACAGTCGCAGCTCAGACATTGCTCGGACAGTGTAGCTGGCAGGGGACCCAGCCCACACCAGCCTCGTGCAGATACAGAACCCGGGGCAGAGCAGGAGGCCCTCTCTGCCTACTGGGCCTCCAGAGGCTGGTGTCCTCAAGCCAACGGGCATGACATGTGGGACCACGTTGCCTCTGCAGAATCCTTACAGGTCTGGACAGGGGGCCATGGGGAGACGACCCCGCTGGCACCCCTGCTCAGTGGCTTAGGACAGGGATGAGTGGGGAGCAGCGGATGCCCCAGGTGGTTCTGGAGCAGGGCCACCCTGAGGACCAGGTCAACAGCACCACCACTGCAGCCCCAGAGAGGTGGGAAGAGGACAGGTCCACACACGCTCCTCAGTGACAAAGCAAGACCCGCAATGGCCATGTTGCCATCAGAACCAGAACTGGAGCAGAGCAGGAACAGCGGGTCTGGGGCAGCCCAGCCCAAGGTGGCAGCACAGCAGCCAGCAGCAATCTGTTCCACAGGATTGCAGTGGAAACCACTCAAGACACCAAGCCGCCGAGCCACCATCAGCAGCATGGCAGCTACAGGGCCACGAACCTCACCGTGGCACCCTCCACTGCCACCTACACGTAGGCCCAACATCTCCAGTGCGCCTTCTGCCTGCCCAGGCTCCCTTTACCGTTCCCCATGCTAAGCTCTTGGTGCAGTGACAAACCCAGAGAAAAGAGGCCCGAGAGAAGGGAGGGTACGCATGGTCCTGGCCCCTGGCTTGGGGCCTTGGTGAGGAGGATCCCCTCGGAAGCAAAGGGAGGGAGCAAGGCCAGGCCCCACTCCTCTTCAAGGTCCGAACAACTCCTGGCCAGACCGCTCAAGTGGCCACCACCTCCCACAGCACCATCCACTGGGCTCCAAGCCTTCAACTTGCAAGCTTCCAGGGACATCGGAGACTCAGGAAGCAGCAACCCTCCGAAGCCAGCCCCACAGCCCAGCAGCACCATTAGCTCCACGGGATGCTCGTCCCCTTGGCCGACACGTCAGGTGCAGGCAGGGGAGGACAGACAACCTGCTCCCTGTCCTCACAGAGCACCTGGGCTGACCTCTGCCGCCATGGCCACACACAAGCCAAGGAGGACACGGCCACGCGGAGCCCAGCACTCTGAGGGCTGTGCCGCAGAGTGGACCAGGAAAAGGCCACTTGGGGCTGACAGGTGAAGGTCACAGGAACCATGGAGACACTGGCTCCCCTGCAACCCAACCCCGGGCTGAGGGTGGTGTATGCTAGCTACAGGGCCGCCATCAGGGACAGTGGGAGCCACCTGCTTACTCCAGGTCTCTTGGCCAACATGTGAAAGAGAAGAGTAGCTATAAAGATAGCATGAAACAGAAAAACACAAGACAAAAGTTTTACTAGCCAAAAAGTTTAAAATCTCTAAAAGATTTTTTAAAAAAAATCACAGGAACCGATTCAAAATGTGCTATCAAGGGAGAACCCTCCGTAGAGAACCCCAGGTCACTTTGCTGTCACACAAGCAGCGCTTTCAAAGCAAAGGAGGAAATCTGAGCTGGGCGAGGGCGCACACCTGTGACCCAGGGCGTGTGAGCCCAGCCTGGGCGATGGTCACTTAGTGACACCTGCATCGAAATAAAAACTTAAACAAGGGCCAATGACAGAGCTCAGAGTGACCACCATGGGCTCAACCCCCAGCACAGCACTGTATAAAAGACAAAAACAAAAACAAAAAGCCTGAAAGAAAAACAGGAAAAGGGCAGAGAGACAAAACATGCAGGAGCCTGGCTCATGAAGAACATCACTCGCACACCACACAGAGCCAAGGTACCGTCCATAAAGACACCCCCAGGGACAAGCATGTCACACAACAAACCAAACTGCAGCAGCCTCAAAGAGTGCAGACATGACGAGGCTGTGGAGCAGGCCCGGCACACACCCCGCAGAGGAGATAAGAGGAGGCCTTCTAAGCCAGGCAGGCCCCGGAGACAAACCAGCGGGCTGGTGCAGGTCCAGGAGCCCATCCAGATGTACTCGAGCCACACCAGCCTCCCGGAGGGAAAGGGGCGCCCAGGAGGCGCCCAAGGCCCCTGGGATGGCCTTCACAACAGCTTGGTGCCTTTCCCTCAGTTTTCCTCTGCCACCCACAGGGATCAGCAAGGACCACGGAGCTGATACCAGGGAGCAGTTGGGCCCAAACCCCACACCACCTCCCAGGGCGCAGAACAGACCTCCAGCAGACCTACATGTGCCTCTGGGGGTCAGCCGGGTGAGCCCCACGTGACCCTGGAGTTGACCAAGACACTGCGAGTGAGCCCCCGCAGAACTGCAGGAGGGAACAGGAAGGAGAAGCAGGAAGGCACAAAGAAAGAAAGAGATGTCATAGTCACTGTAAGAGTCACACGCTGCATGTGCAGAAAACTGCACAGCAGGGCTTGCAGCTGCCCCAGACTGGGGGTTGGGGGTGGTGCCTTGTCCCTGCTCCAGGAAGGAACAGAGGTACTGACGCATGTGCTCGCACCATCTCAGTGGGGCCAGGGTGCCAACCTCTCTCATGGCAGGTGCTCGGGCCAGCTGTGTCACCGCAGGAAGTGCCAGCCCCAGGTGACTTACAGATACTCCCTGCGCCAGGCTGAGAGTCGGACCCAAACGCTTCTACCACGCGAGGGCTCATGCTGTGGCAAGCACACCACAGGGCTGGCAGCTGGGCCAGGCCTGGGCTCTGGGGCCACAGAAGACAGCCCATCCTCAAGCCAGCACCCAGGAAAAGTGCAGTGCCCACCAAGGGCCCACACTCCACAGCCAGGTAGGGGTGACACACCCAGCAATGAGCCTGCAGGGGAGGGCGCCTGTGGCCACTGCGTGCTTGGTGTCACTGCACTGCCGTGAGGGTCAGGGTCTGGTGCCCAACCCTGTGGTACGTTATGGGGGTGCCCCTTCCTGGGCTCCGCCAGGCATCCAAGAGGGATGTGGAAAACACAGGTCATGGTACAGGGACAGGCACAGCCTGCGGCTCCCCGCCGCCCAGTCTCTATTTGGAGACCACAGCCGCCCTCTACTCGAATGCCTGCAGCAGGCGTGGGTGAGGAGCAGCCAGGCTCATGCACAGCAGAAACACGCCGGGAACTGCAGCAGCTCTCCCGCCAGGCCAGAGCACCACACTCAGGCCACAGCTGTGAGGGCGCCTCGGTGCTAAGCACACCACACTGCACAAT